TAGGCGGCGGCCTTGTCGCCTAGGCGATATGGCGGTCAGCTGGCGCCGCGACTCGACTTACCGCCGTGACAAGTATGTATGAAACACATTTGTTCGATTAAATGACTGATTAAATGAGTGTGCAGATTGTATATTCTAACTCAGGAAGAATAGTTAAAATATAATTTCCTCATGCTTTGAGTTTTTTGTAAAACATTTTGAGATCTGGTCATTTCTTCGCTTCCTATGTGTGCATCATATCACAGGAGTGGGGGTGCTTTTCTGAACTTTATGCAGAAAAGAAAATGACATGTAGTTTTGATTATGAATCTACTTAGGGAATTGTAATTCGACATAGTGTATAATATTCCTTTAAATGTAATTTTGCATTAACAATCCTAACATATTTTCCCATCAGCCTGAAACTTGTTTTAAAAAATGGCACTATCAAATTATTTTATTTCATTATACTACCCAATCACTTGCATATGCAAGTAAAAAATAAACCTAAAACATTTTCACTAACAAATATGATTGATCTTACAATGTGGAGATGTATGATGATATTTATTGCAAACCACTACTGCACATGCAAGAAAAAGAAGAAATTAGGTGTGTGAAAGGAGATGGTTTACATAAATATCAAGGACAGTGGGGTCTATCTTGATTAGGACTTCCCACTTACAGTTGGGAAATCCTAAATATGCATAATGGATGTGTACGGTCAAATATGCATAATGGCATTCACGTTTTACATAGTTTTTCTCTTTTTTTTCCAATACACTACAGATTAATTTTTCAAAAGTTCCTCCCTAACCCAACCTATTATAAGAGTGTTTAGAATATTTTGGACTCCGGAGTCCTCCTTTACTAAGCACAACTTGAAATTTATTGTTCATCATGTAAAATCCTGAAAGTGCTTATTCACAGCTATCAAAAGTGCTTTTAAAATACTAAAACATCTTTTCCTTTTAAAAAGATGTTTGTTTTATACTTTTATTTATTTTTTGAAACAAGTTATGCGAACAATTAATATACTGCAACAATTTAGGGAAATTTTGTAGAGATAATGAAAATGTAAATGTTTTTTAATCATATTTTGGGCATCAGTCGCACATAGTGCGTACTCTGCTAATATCATATATGCAACATATGATTTATGATGGTAAGGGCATTTTGATACTTGCATTCAAATGTCATATGACTCATATCACAAACCTTTTATATCAAACAATCTAACCTTAATAGAAACTAAGCAGGGTATTTATAAGCTGACAGCTCAACTAACTAAACCAAAGCCACAACAATTAGAACAAACTTATAACCGACTCTAAAAGTCTATCTAACATTCCCCCCTCAAAGTTAGGGTGATTGAGCAGTAAAATCAATCACACTAAGTTTGTTCTTGAGTTCTAGAAATCTGGATGAAGATAGAGGCTTGGTCAATATATCAGCCAGTTGATGATGAGCTGGGATGTGAAAGACTTCAAGCTGCTTCAGATGCACCTTTTCTCTTACAAAGAAGAGATCAATTTCCAAATGCTTAATTCTGGAGTGTAAAACTGGATTGTGAGCAAGCTGAACAGTACTCAGATTATCACAGTACACTCTAGGAATAGTGAATGGAACTTGAAGTTCTTTCAGTAGGAATTGAATCCATAAAAGCTCAGCTGTAGTGTCTGCAAGGCTCGTGTACTCTGCTTCTGTTGATGATCTTGCCACACGAACTTGTTTTCTAGACCACCAAGAGATAATGTTTGATCCAAGGAAGATGCAAGACCGAGATGTTCTTTCTGTCCGTGTGATCTGATGCCCAATCTGCATCACAGAAAGCTCAAATAGGAAGAGGCATGACTGACAAGGGAAGAGGTTTAATGATGATTCCATGAGTAATTGTGCCAGAAAGATAGCGTAGGATGTGTTTTAGGATGTGTTTTACTGCCTGCCAGTGTTCTTGTAGTGGTGTCCCCATAAATTGGCAAACTTTGTTAACACTTAACAGAAAAAGCAAATTTCAGGTCTAGTTAGTGTAGCATATTGTAGAACACCAACTATAGATCTATAATATGAGGGATTTGGTAGATAGTCACTCCCTTCATTGGTGAGTTTACAAGTGCTGATCATAGGAGTTTTGACTCCTTTAGACTGAAGCATGCCAGTTTGACTTAAGAGATCTCTTATGTACTTGCCCTGAGAGAGATGTAAACTTCCATCAGGTAGTCTATTAGCTTCTATTCCCAAGAAGAAGTCTAAATCTCCAAGATTTTTAAGAGAAAAGGATGAATCAAGCTTCTGTATGATCTGAGCAATGGCAGTAGAGTTATTTCCAATAACTAGGATATCATCAACATATATCAATATATAGATCTGAATACCAGCTGATAGAAAATACAGCAAAGAAGGATCACATTTGCTTTGCTTGAACCCAATATTATAAAGAACTGTGGTGAGTTTAAGAAACCAAGCTCTTGGGGCTTGTTTCAGGCCATAGAGAGACTTATGAAGCTTACAGACCAAGGAAGTGTCTTTGACTTGAAAACCTGGAGGCTGCACCATGTATACCTCTTCATCAAGAACTCCATTTAAGAAGGCATTATTGACATCAAGTTGCTGAATAGGCCAGTGATTAGATACAGCAATGGTGAGAAGAATTATGATGGTAATGGGCTTAACCACTGGAGAGAAGGTTTCTCCAAAATCAAAGCCAAATCTTTGATGAAACCCTTTGGCCACCAGTCTGGCCTTATACTTATTCAGAGAGCCATCTGCATTTTCCTTGACTCTGTAGACCCACTTACACCCAATAGCTTGCTTGTCTGGGGTAAGGGAACAAGGGTCCAAGTGTTGTTGGCTAACAACGCATCATATTCAGTTTTCATGGCCTCAAACCATTGAGGTGAAGTGAGAGCTTGCTTAACTGACTTGGGCTCAGTATGAGCTAATAGTAGTGTGGAATTAAGTCTAGGTTTAACTATGCCATAGGATGAATGTTGGTCAGAGGAACTAGAGGAACTGTAGAAGGAGAAGATGAAGAGGACTCATTATGAAGTGAGGGTACATCTGGAGAAGAAGGCTGTGAAAAAGAGTCATGGTTCGCATGATGTAGAGAGACAGATTGAGATATATCAGTATTATGAAAAACAGGTTGTGATGGATTAGATGAGGCTGAAGAAGAGAATTGAGTTGGAGAGGAAGATGATGAGGTGGTTAAAAGGTAGTTGATGATGTTGAGGAATAATGGTTAGGGGTGCAGAAATGGAAGTTGGAACAGTTGATTGCTTAGTTGATTGCTTAGGATCAGTGAAAACTGTATTGTAAGGGAATTTGGATTCATTGAAGATAACATCTCGAGAGAGATATATCTTTCCAGAGGATGATAGGCACTTATAGCCTTTATGATTTGAGGAGTAGCCTAGAAACACACATTCTTCAGAATGAAAATCCAATTTATGTTTGTTATATGGACGGATGAAAGGAAAACAGGAGCAACCAATAGCACTGAGGTTATCTGCGATAGTTTGAATACGAAGAAGATAATCTGAGATTGATATGTCACCTTTTGTTGTGTTGTATAATTCTGACTTCAGTTGCCTTGCTTTTGCTAAGATGTGTGATTGAAAATGTTTGTTGATTTCAGTCCAAAGTTGGTGCGAATGTTTACAATGAATGACGCGAGCGTGAAACGGCTCAGATAATGACGCAAAGAGCCACGAAAACAACATGTGGTCTTGTTGTTCCCAGGTGATGTACGCATCATTCTCGATTCCATTTGTTTCATCATCGCGACTGGCAAAACAATCTGGAATAACAGGTTTGACAAGAAACCGAAGTAGTTTGTGTGCTCGTACAAACTGATTCGAAGTGATGTTTCCAGAAAAGAAAGTTGTTAGAATCAAGTTTTACAGGAAGAGGATGCGTGAAGGTGACTGGAGATACAGAAGCTCCAGTTGAGGTAGAAGAATTGGATGAGGTGGTTTCCGTCGTGATCACCATTAATGGATCGAGCGAAGCTCTGATACCATAATAGAAACTAAGCAGATGAAATAATATTGAGATATGAAAAACTTTAGTTAATCAATATTGAAAGTGAGTACAGGGTATTTATAAGCTGACAACTCAACTAACTAAACCAAAGCCACAACAATTAAAACAAACTTATAACCGACTCTAACAGTCTATCTAACAAACCTGTCCTTTTAATTAAAATCACATCTATTTACAAACACTACCTACTTTTACAATAAATCACTTTTCAGATAATCTCTTAAATAAATCACTTTTAACAAGCAAACACAAACACCCCCTTAGTTATTTTATTCCTGAATATCAATATTGCTATTAATTTATTGATAATAATAAGAGAACATTTCATTGATTTCTTGTGGAAGAGTGTAATGTGCAGGTGTGATCCTGTCCGTGGCCTACGGGCGGAAAATTTAAAATGGACTTAATCAAAATAATTTTAAGACTCTTTTTATATAAACTAACATGCATATTAATAATATTTCATGACCTTTATCATAAACATAGTAGAAGAACATAGTTTACTTAAATTAGCTAAATTAAACATAGTAGAAGAACAGTTTACTTAAATTACTTAATAAGGGATTTGACTTCTTGATACAAGCAATTATTTCCATTGAATATTTGAACCTTTTTTTATTAAAGGCTTCTTTCTCTAACCCTCTCTATTTTATTTCACCCACCCAAATTCAACCATTTTATTAGACCTTAAAATTAATTAAATATATAAGTTTAATATTAATTTAAGAATTTATCGAACCAATTACAACATTTGCACGTATTCCAAATTTAACTACATAGAAAAATTCAAAAGTCAATAATCACTTAAAGATCTATAAATCAACTAATCACTTAATTAGAAGCATCCACAAACCAACAAAATCACTACAGCACCACTCAAATCAATTAATCAAGATATCAACACATAAAAACTAATTAACACACAACAATCAATCGCTATTAAAGTTAAATAGCAGATTAGTGGAATGGCAGAATACCAGGAACTCCAGATTCAGGAAGCGAGTCTGAAGGGAAGGGGGGCGTAGGGGTTGGTCGGCTGGATTATGGAAGACTGGGATGTGGGAAGAATCGGGATTCGGGATCGGCGAATCGCAGACTGAGAAAGGGCAGGGCCGGGCGCCGGTCTGGTCGTCGGGAAGCGACCAAGCGTGAAGCGTCGCAGGCTTCCAGGCTCGCAGCTGTGGCTACGTCGGTCGGTGTCTAGAAGGCTTGGCGCCGACGGTCGGGGTTCCGACTTCCTGTCTTGGGGCTTGCGAGTTGGGAATGGCTTTGGCGACAGGCGAATGACGGATTGACCGCGAGTTGGGAATGGCTTCTACGCTTCTCTATTTGGGAATTAGAGCTTGGGCCGGGCAAATTGAATATATTAGGGCTGCCAACTTACACACATACGGAGTACTCCCGCCGTCCCAATTTGATTTGCAAAATTTCCTATTTTGATTGTCCCAAAATGATTTTCCATTTTCTATTTTAGGTATGTAAATAAGAATAAAGTGACAAATCTACCTTTACTTTTACTTTTTGACCATTAAGGATGTTTTTACTTGGACTGTAATTTGCTGATCTGGTCTGGTCTGATCTGGTCTGGTCTGGTCTGGTTTCTTTGTATTTTTATAACTATCCAAGTCTGGTCTGGTTTGAACTGGTCTGGTCTGGTCTGATCTGGTCTGGTCTGATCTGGTCTGGTCTGATCTGGTCTGGTCTAGTCTGGGACGAATTACAATCCAAGTAAAAACATCCAAATTTAAAGACATCTACTTTTAGAAAGATGGGCAAAAGTGTAAAAGGCAAACATCATTTATTGGCATTCATTGATCCTTGTGTCAGTCAAAGTTTGCAATTCAATTCGAGACGGAGGAAGTATTATAAAGGAAAATTTTTACAAATTTTTTACATACGGAATATCACTTTTTTCACTTTCTAAAAAAAAGTGATTCAAGTGGTGGCTAAATATCACTTTTTTCATTTTTTAATCTTTCCTTCAAAAATAGACTCACTCAATCTTTCTTTTCAATAATAGTCCATCCTATGTAACCGGCTACTGGACCTCCGCTCGTCGTGCGATCACTATGTAAATTTATATTTCCTCGTCTTTTTTTGCCCCGGAAGGTCAACCACCAAAATCAGTGGGGTAGATGTCGGGGAACATTTACCAGATTTTATTAATTAAGCAAAGCATTTTACGCATGGAGGACAAAAGCCTTAACCATTACAACAAGAGAAGCTCAAAAAAAAGCAAAGAATTAGAAAACATAAGGTAATTCTGAAGCATCTAGCAATATGGATCCCCTCAACTCTTTTGGAATAATATTCCCTTCCTGCCACTTGAATCCGCCCTCCAGGCCCAATTTAACAACCACATCTCCCGCATGATCACGAAGCAGAAACCCAGCCGCTGACTTGCCATTCCCACGGTGTATAGCGAGGTTCAGCTTCGTTGTTCCTTCCGCCGGTTTTCTCCATTTTCCAATTTGGGGCTTCCTCCTCCCAAACGAGCTAGGTAAGAACCCCAAACGCTTTAATCTTTCATCTCCTTGCAAATTACAGTTAGTCTAACACCATTCTAACATATATTTTCTTATTTGCTGAATCAAACGCTCAACCCGTTGCTTTGTATCATTATTGACCAATTCCCAGTAAGCTTTCCAAATATGCCACACTATGACGCCTGGTAAGACCATCTGAAAAACCGCATCCATGGATTTCCCTGTTTTACTGATCCACCATCTCATAAGTTCTAATTTGATGCTATTTGTATTTTGAACTGTTGTAAAAAAGGATCGAGTGAAGACATTCCACACTGTTCGAGTCCACTTGCAGGTTAAGAGAAGATGATCCTGGCTTATACCTGAGGTTCTACAAAATGGGCAGATCATTGGGAACACAGTAGCATAAATGTCCGGCGTACATTTATAAACTATAAAGTAATACAAAGTGGATGGATCGTAAAGTTCATGAAAAAATAAAAACATACGGAGTAAGAGTTAAAAACACCGTACCTGCGTACCATAAATGTCTAGGAACAAAAATTAAATTAAAAACTGAAGCTAAGTTTACAAATACATAGTAAAATTGAAAAATTAAAAACTTGTAAATTAAACTTAAAAGTTTAAATTTAAAAAATTAACCAGAAAGGTGTAGATTAAAAGTATGGAAAACTTAGAAAATACAAAAATAAAAAATCAACTATAAAAAAGTTTAAAAACATTAGGGGAATTGAAAAAAATGATTTTCGTATTGAAGTTTTGTTTATATATTTAACTATTTATATAGAAAAATAAACTGTCAAAAAATTAAAATGATAATTTCCCTTAAAAAAATTAAACTGTAAAAATATGAACACTTAAGAATATAAAAATATGTTAAATAAGATAAAAAATAATTTAAACTATTATAAAATATAAAAAGTAACTATAATTATGTATGACAAAGTAAAATGTTTTAAAGTCGGAATTTATGGTGTTAAAAAAACAATTAAATCTAAAATTTTGAAAAACTATTTGTTATAAATTTCATAAAAAACGAAAATGTAATTCATAAATTTTAGATAATAGGCAAATTAAAGTAAACTAAAAGGCGTGTAAGGTATGAAAACTTGAAAAGTAAAAAGGTGAAAAACTAAAAAAAATGTCATGTACAAAATGTAAAAAAGTAAAAGTATACGAATTTTGTTAGCTGTTTCTAAAAAGTATTAAAATAATTAATTATTATCATCATTCCATTATTTACTCTTTGTTGCATATTGTTTATTTTTGTTGATAACTTTGAAGTTTTTGTTTTATGTTGTTTCTTGATGTTTTTATTGTCATTTATATTCATAAAGTTAAGATTTATCCTTTTAGATGCTTGTATATCTATCTATCTATGATTTTTTATTCCAAATTAACAACAAAGATATATAAACCAAATGAAACCAAAAAATCAAAATTAATAACAAATAACAAAAAGCAACATGAAACAACAAAAAAACAACATGAAGCAACAAAAAGTAACATAAAGCGACAAAAAGTAACGTGATGCAACAATGTTATTGAAACAAAAAGAAACATGATGCAACAATGTTATAGAAACAAAAAGAAACATGAAGAAACATGATGCAACAATGTTATAGAAAACAAAAAGAAACATGAGTGGACACTTTTTGTTAGGTCCCCTAGATTTTGTTTTGATGAAACATGATGCAACTAGTATTATTTTGATGATGTCACCCCTTTTTCTATGTTATCCCTCTAATAGACTAGCACTTGTATTTGTTCTACTACTGTTTATTGTAATGTGCTCAAAAGTGATAAAGTACTTAAGAAAAACAGAGAGTACTAAAAAGAGAAGAAACGTATCATAAAACAAAGAGAAAAGAAACAAAAAGAAAAAAGTACGAAAAGAGTCAACTGAAGCCCTTTTGAATAACTTAATCAGAGAACCTTCAATGATCTTCTGGTCACATCAGAGAACCTCAACTTTGATGGACATCAGAACTGATCAACTCTGGTGACACCAAAGTAAAGGTCTCTGATATATACCAGAAGACCTTCTGTTACGGTCGTAACAGAGAACCTCAAACAAAGATGGTTTTTCTGATGACACCAGAACAGAAGACCTCATAGGTATTCTGGTAAGGTATTCTGTTGAGGTATTTTGATCAGAAACTCAACATCTACTATTCTTCTCTTAACACAAAAACAAAAAGACAGAAGACTCACTTGCAGTCAGAATGACAGAATGACAGAAATTAAATGTCATCCCCTATTCTGTTTATAAATCTCTACAACTTGGCCCATTACATCAAACCGGTGTAGTGATTCAACTGACGGATCATTCTAGTACTTACCCGAAGGGTGTAGTAGAAGATGTGCTAGTAGAAGTAGAAAATATGGTTTTTCCTGTTGACTTCTATATCCTTGAAAGGGGAACTGATGATCAAACAACACCCATCCTTTTGGGTAGACCCTTCATGAAGACCGCAAAAACAAAAATTGATGTTTCTAGTGGTTCCTTTACTTTGGAGTTCGATGACCAAAAAGTGGAATTCAACATCTTGGACTCTACGAAAAACAAAAGCAAAATCTAACTCTTTGTTCTTTAAATGTTGTTGAACCACAAGAACCGGTATTTTTAAAAGAAGCGGATAAAATCAGATTTTTTCAAGAAGGGACAAATAAACACGAGAAGCCATCTTTGATAAAAAGGGACGTGTTAAAATGTGAACTAAATCCACCTATGATGGAGGTGGTAGTGAGAAAGAAACCCCGGCCTTACTGGAAAAGGCCGAAAAATAAATTTGAAAAATGGCTAAATAAGGCCACAAAAAAATGAATCAAGGGATGTTCACGATCCCACTTAAAAAAAATGAATAACGTCGTGCCACGACGTTAACTAAGGCGCTTCTTGGGAGGCAACCCAAGTTTATTTTTTCGAGTGTTTATAATTCATTTTTTTTGTTTAATTATTTGAGAGATCAGTTCTATTTGTGGGAGGTTGAGAGAGAGGGCACTAATCACAGGTTTTTGGAGGAAAAGAAAAAATGCAGGTTTGGAGCATCTGGGGACATACCCGATCGAGTACCACCTTATACTCGGTCGGGTATGGCCAAAAGAAGGGGAACCGGGCATTACTCGATCGAGGAAGAAGTCAATTTTTTAAAGAAAATAGGCATACTCGATCGGGTATCACTATATACCCGGTCGAGTATGTACAGAAAGTCGAAGTACCAGGGAAACTGATGCCCACATTCGATCGAGTACAGGCCTCGAAAATTGAAGAACAAGGGATACCCGATCGAGTATGGAATGATACCCGACCGGGTACCGGAGGCAGACTACTCAACAAATTCAAATTCCAGCAATACTCGACCGGGTAAAAAAACATACCCGATCGAGTACCGGAGGCAGGCTGCTCAAAAACCCCACTTTCCAGACATACCCGACCGAGTAACAGCACATACTCGATCGGGTATACGGGCGTTTTAACCCCAAATCCGCCCCAAACACTTCATCTTCCCCAAATCCCCAAACCCAAATTCGCCGAACATTTTGGTATTCCGGTCCCTTACCAAAAATCCATATCCGACAATACCGCTTTCGGCCATACCCTATGGACAAAGATGACCGGGGAGACTAAAATTAGCTCCTCCCAACTGTATATTAGTCATGTCCAACATCCCGTCCTCCGCCTGTTCTTGAAATTCCTTGCCAATTGCTTGCTTGGACGTCCCAACAACCATCACACTAGGATGGGGGATGTATGCCTAATGTCTGTGGCCCTATTCCGTGTTCACGTGGATTTCAACCTGTGTAATCTTATGTGACACTTCAAAAATTTAAATAAAAATAAAAATAATTTTTAATCACATAAAATATTACGAAAATAACAATTTTAGAATTAATTGAGTCAGACAAAAATTCAACAGTTGTAACATTCTAATCAGATAAAAATTTCAAAATTTATGATGTTTTAGTCAGATAAAAATATTTCAGTAATAAGAACAGCATTTTAGTAAACAAGTGAACCAGACAGAAAAATTTACATTTACGACATTTTTAATCAGATAAAAATGGCCCGATAATAGAAGTTATGTTTTAGTATAAAATTAATTTTTATATAACTATTTTAGGTTGTATAATATGCAAAGTATAAACTAAATAATTAAAATACTCAAAATATACATATATATACATAATAATAATAATAGTAACCTACTTAGTAATATAACTAAACTAAAATACCTACGTAACTACGTAATAATATATACTACTACTACTTAAATACTACTACTACTACATATATACGTATTAGGATTAAGTAGGAGGTAGTAATATATAACTATAATACGTATTAGGATTAAGTAGGAGGTAGTAATATATAACTATAATACGTATTATAGTTTTTCTTGGCCGGCAAAACAACACAACCAAAAAATCGGGAGGAGCTGTTTTAATCCAACTCTAACTCTAACACAGCCCGAAACCCTCATCTCTCCCTATAAATAATAGGCCAGAACCCGCGTTTTCTTCATCCCGAAAATCTGAGAAATATACATATATACGTGTATATATATATATATATATATATATATATATATATATTGCGACCCAGCGTTTTAGCCAGAAACAAGCCTTGAAAATACTTCTCAAACCTTCCCCTTCGTGATACGAATCCAACGGAAAAAGAATCGTCGAAAACGGTCGTGAAACGAGGGAGAAAAGCCTCGCCGGAGTTTCGCCGGGGAAAAACATTTCGACGGAAAATAGAGAAGAGGGAGGAGCTGCCGCTGCCGCCGTACCACCTCTGACCTTCGCCGCCCTGCTACCACCGTTTTCGGCCGTTCGCTCGTCCAAACGGAGTAAGTTCTCCCCCCCCCCTGTTTTTTTCCCGTTTTTCCGGCAAGGCAACGAGGAAGACAACCCAGCTGAGCTGGGGTCCCTCTTGGGCCTAATTTTTTTGGGCCAGAATAATTTAATTTGGGCCAGTTCGGCCCAGTTGAAATAAAAATTAAAAATAAAATAGTAAATGAAATAAATAAAATCTGGAAAAATATAAATTAAATACCTAGTATAAATATACATATTCGGACCAACCAGAATTGGAAAATAATATTTTTAGCTATTTTTAATTGATTTAATGGTAATTGGGCCAATTTATACACTTTTAGTAAATAATTAATTAAATAACGAAAATAATTATGAAATAAATATTGGAGTAAACTAGGATAAATATATGACTAACTAGGACCTTATGGACCATTTATAATTAATAAAAATAAGGTTTAGTATATTTAATTGTAATTAAACCGATTAATAGATATATGAAATTAAAGGAATAATTGGGGAAAATAATTATAAAATAGATATCTGGACAACCTAGGTCGAATATAGAACCAAAATATATTTATGGACGGTTACTAATTTATAAAGTCAATTCTTAGTCTATTTATTTAAATTAAGCCATATAAAACTAGTTAAGTAATTAAATAAGGAAATATTAGTATTAATGGTGAAATAAATAAATCACTGAGGTTGAAAAATAATATTCTGGACTAAAAATAATGTTTGAATAAAATAAGGAAAATAAATATTTTCGGTTATGAAAATAAAGTAATTAGATAATAATTAGAGAAAATTAATGGTGATTATTAAATAAAAAATGGATGTTGTAGTCAATAAAATTCGGATATTTTATTTAATATTAGAATTCAAATATTGTAATTAATGGCTGAATTAATAAGGTAATTTGATTAATAAAAAATGATTAACCAAAGTTTATGCGAATAATAAAATAAAAGGGGAAAATCGGGTAAAGTAATTACAAATAGAATAAGTGACTAATTTATCATATTTAATTAAAAAGGTGATTATCTAGAGACCGGATTAGAGGAGGATAACTAGGAGCATCAGGACTTAAGGTAAGTTTCTCTGCCAATCCAAAATTGTTTCCTCGTATTATATGCTTATTATGCATTATGTGATTAAGTGTGAATTGTAAATTTTGTGTATGTGATTTTGAGGAGATATTATATATATGGTAGTTAAGAAATATAAATCAAGTACTTTTGGGGTATTAAATATTTTTAAATACCTTTGAGATTTTTTAGAGAAATTAAGAAGCATTTTTGAAGTATTGTTAAGCAAAGATAAAATTTACATTTTCATAAGAAGATAGCATCTCGGGAGTAATCCGAGGTGTCGGTTTTTCCACATCCGGATAAATGTGGAGGGTGATTAGAGCTACTACTACTAAGAAGTACAGTTTGGATCTATGATCCCTTTTAAGTAAGATTTGGATCTATGATCCCTTTTAAGTGAGATTTGGATCTATGATCCCTTTTAAGAAGAAGTTATAGTAGTAGTCCCTAATCATTCAAGAATTTTATAATTGGGGTGGTTGGGTTCCGACCACTCGGGATGACTTACTACTCGGAGGGCTTGGAATCCCTTTTAGGGGGTGTGCACACTTAAGGTAGTCGTTTCGTTTCCAACAGAGCAGTTGTGGTACCGGCACTTGTTCGGGGTGGCCGTCCGTAACCACGGTTCACCGGGCTCTATCGAAAGGTTGAGCACCGCCCTTCTAAATTACTAGGAAGTTAGAGAAGAAGTGATTTTCTTAAGAAGTTTAAAAAGAAGAGTTACTAAGAGATTTTCCAAGAGAAGTTTAAGATTTTAGCAAAGAAGTAGTTTGAGAAAAACCAAAGTGAAAAGAATTTTGATGGTGTGAGTATTTTTATATATTATTATATAAAAATCTATTTTTTAGCCAAACCTGATTATTTTACGGGGTTGGGTAGTACTTACTTAGCTCTAAAGCTAATTTTTGTTTTCTTTTCTTTGTTTCGTTTTCTGCACTTTATTTGTGCAGGTAATGATGAATATGAAGCTCATGATGTTTGACGAGTCTTGAGAGCGCTTTAGAAGATTTAAGTGTAGTCTTCACTTAGTTTAAATAATGTTGTTAAATTTTGAATTTAAGTTTTTAATTCGGTTGAACTCATGGTGGATAGCCTTAACATCCAGCCAAGTTGAGGGCTGGGTGTGGCGGTAACACACCCTTTTTCCATTATTGTTATTTCCGCTGCAAAACTCTATCTATTTTTAAGGAATAAATCAAGGTTGTTATCAATATATATTATTATTTCAAGTATTATTTTGGGCGGGAAAAATGGGGGTGTTACATCTTATGTGGGCACATCTGAAAAAAGAAAGTGTAGCAAAGGGCGCTATTGTGGTGGGTGGGATGATTATGCACTTAGCCACCAAGTTCGGGTATACGGATAACTCTCCTATACCCGACTACTGTTTGATGAACATTTCTTGGTTGGGCCACTCGGGATGTACAGCTTTTTCCCACACAGTTTATGGTGGAGAAAGACCCAAGAATATGTACAACTGGCTCATACACCCCAAACCCCTCAAATACTTCCTCCTTCCCAACCCAGAACTCCCCAAACTCCACTACAAAGAAGCAGTAGAGGCGCCCCATTACCTCTTCCCACACGCCCTTCCACCACATCTCCAGGAACCGGAGCAAGAACCTCCCCAATACCAACCCGATTACGAGCCCTATGCTCAACTCCATAGCCATCAAGACATGGGCCAGGACATCCCCGAACAAAACCAAAACCCTCCACCACCCGACTTCTTTCAACAACTTTTGGAGGGTCAACAACAGTTGCTTACGGGGTACGTTCAAATGAACGCAAACTACACGACTATGGACAACCGGCTCAACCAAATACAGGAGGAGCAAAGGGTCGGTTTTCACCGATTGGAGGAGCTCAGGGAAGCCAATAGACATCGGTATGAAGAAGACCAACGTAGGTTCTACGGACCTATGTACTCTTACATGGCACAACAGGGATCTTTTCATACCATGGCAAACCCCCCTCCACCACCCTCATGGTATGACCCCACTCATTGGGGTAACTTTGGAGGATCTGGCTCCGAGGGTGGAGGGTACGACGGCGGAGATGGCGGGGACACATATATGGGAGATGGTGGGCAGGGGAGCATCTTCGGAGGGAGCTACTACAGCGGAGAAGACGGGCACTAGGGACAGTGCTTGATTCAAGTGCGGGGGAGAGACTCATGATGGTATGTGGTTTTAATTTCCACCTAGCACTATGCATGTAATTCTTTTGAACTATTTACACAAAAAAAAAGAATAAATAAAAGAAAATAAATGCTAGTTAGGTTGAAAACCCAACAAAATGGGCAATCTAAGCAAAAAGGGCTTATAAAAAAAATGAGTGAGTTGGGGAGAATGGAAAATGAAAAGAGATGTTAGGATGAAAACCTGAAAAGGCTCCTAGGCAAAATGAGATATGAGAGAAATGTTTGTTTTTGCAGGCACTCATTGTATCTCTTTGAAGAATAAGAAGATTCAGAAAACAAAGACAAAGAAGAAGAAAGGAGGAGAAGAGAAGATGAACACTAGAAGGCCATAAAACCCAAGATGTTCTTTGTAATTTGAGTTAAAACTCATTTTTGTCATCCTTGGTGGTCTTTGTGTTTGTATGGTTTTTGTTAAAACTGTGGAATCTTTGGAGAAACTTGACACTTGTATACATTTGACCTTACTCGAGACGAGTAAAGGTTTAAGTGTGGGGGAGTTGATACGTTTGTAATTTCCATTTGCATGTTTGTGTTTTTAATTAGTTTTGCTTGATCTTTACTATGGAAATTACACACTTTTGGTGTAATAGATTAGTTTGTTAGATTCTTGTAAATAGTTTAGATTAGATATATTCTGAGCTCAAACAGGTCTTGACCACTCAAAGTACAGTTGGTGAACCCAAAGAGTGGAAAGAAGGTGCAAAATTTGAAGACAAAAGAAGGATCCTGAATTTTGGTCTATACTCGGTCGAGTATTAACTATACTTGATCGGGTATTAGGTTGAAACTTCAAATCGGATCAGATCCGAAGACAAGGGAACATGCCGGGAGGATTTCGGCCACGATTTAATGTCTCTACCCGATCGGGTAAATCGACATAACCGATCGGGTATGCCTTTGAGTTTTAAACGAAGATCGGTCGAGTATGGTCCGAATACCACTTTCTAAGCATACTCGACCGGGTATAAACATATACCCGATCGGGTATACCTGTGAAAAATAGCCTGAAACCGATCGAGTATACCTCGAATCGAGTATTACACACATACTCGATCGGGTACCATGTATACACCCGATCCAGTACTCGAATCCCATCCCAAAAGCCTATAAATACACCTCCTTTCCTTCACAAAAAGATATCCAATTCCTTTGTACATCTAAGTTCAGTATAGAATAGTTCTTTCTTTATATTTTTCATCATGTTTAGTCTCCAAATGAGGAGCTAAACTCTTCCATCTGGGTTTTGCTACTTTGAAGCTTAATGAATTTGTAAGTTGTGAGTTATTTTCTTTAATCTTCTTCCTTGAATATTAATTCTTCCTTTAAAATACTATTTCTATATCAAAGTTGGGGAGTGTTACTAAGATGACAATTAGTTAACATCTTGACATTGGTTATAGTCATAGCTATTTCTTCCTCTATGTTAATATTGGGGAGTGTTACTAAGATGACAATTAGTCAACATCTTGATATTAATCATAGTAGGATTCATATTCTTTAATATTCTTCCTTGAGTATTAATTAATTCCTATTCTTATTTCATGTTAATATCTTAAACATTACTTAAAGTATCAACTAGTATTGTTTCTCATATTAATTATTACTAGAATCAATCGGTTAATACGCTTGTTATTAATCCGGTTCTTTCAACGGTAGTAAACTTGGAATATTAATGCATGCATCTCATGGTTAATATGCCAAGGGGAATTAATTATATTGATTAAACCAACAAACCGCTTGTGTTGAGGTTATCAATCTCAATCGTTTTCATCTTAAGTTTATTGCTACTATCAAGTTAATATACGGCGCTTGTTCTATATTGACTCGATAGTAAGTTTTATTAATGAACGCATCTCGTTATTAATAACTACCCTCGATGAACTGGATATACTCCTCGATTGAGTATTCGAGAGGAAGATAGTTAAAGATATAACCGGGATCGACGAACATTTCATTAAGTGGATAAAAGCAAAACCAAGTCCTCATCTCATTAAATTAAACTCATATAGGTTGTTCATCTTAGTGTTTTTAAATCAAACAAATCTAAAACCCCCCTGTTACTACTTATATAGAAGAAACGTATTCTTTTCCCTTTGGATACGAACCTTACTTCACTATACTACGTATTAGTGTTGTATTGATTAATTATTTTGAGTGCACCGCACGACAAGTGCACGTCACCTACTGGATTTTTTGAGCAACAAAGAAATGTTTGCTAAAATGTTACTTAATCTTTCAAGAGTACTCTAGACTTCAAATGCATCTAATCAACTCCAATGGACAAAGTCCAGAAACCAGATGACTTGACTAACTCTGAGGATCAGGTGGGATTTGTTCAATAAAAACAAATCATTATGGCAGAGACCGGTCAACGCTCTGGATAACAGAAGGAGACGTTCAAAAGGAGAATTAGTTATGGTTCACCAGAAACTCTAGAAAGAAGGAAAAAAGAAAGATGATGTCAGCAGGAAAAGCAGCAAAGCAGAACTCTTCAGAAAATTTTGGTTGCCTGCTGAAACCAACAGAATACCTCAAGCTTCTGTTAATGACCAGAATACCTCAAGCAGTTCTGTCAAGGAATAGAATTCCTGGTCAAATGGAAAGAGGTTCTGTTGAAACACCAACTCCCAGTTTATTTTATACTTCGAACACCTCAAATGTTTCAGGAAATTTCAGGAAATTATTCTAAGTATGAGCTATCTGAAAAATCAAGAAGAACAAATATTGCTCAAGACTGAAGGATCAAATCGATCAACGATTATCCTGAAATAAAATATGGAGTATTTATCTGAATTCAGCAATGCAGAAAGAATTAATCTTGATTGCATCAAAAGCATGCTGACATTCAATAAAGGTGTTACATTAATGAGCATGAGAGAAGATTATCTTCAATCAAATCAGAGGAAAGGAAGCAAGAAGAATTTATGGTTACATGCAAAATCCTACAACGACACATGGTGATCAAGCAGCTTACTCATCATTGAAGAAAGAGTTGAAGCAACCGCTTTAATAAGTCAAGTGAGTTTCTCAATATCTCACTCGCTTATCAATGTTGCTTTTTGCTAAGAAAAGAGAGACAGCCGCAAGATCATTAATTAAGAAACGCTTCGATTGCCACAAAGCAATTGAATGCAGACTGACGCATGCTAGCTATAAATATGTTCGTTGCTCCACAAAATACGCCTCACTCTCAAAAGCTCATCATCCTCAGAAAATCCTACGAAGTATCATCACTCTAAATCAAATGAATACCTTAAAGAACAAAATATCCCTTAAGCTTACACTCGCACCTCCATCAGCACCCAAAAGAAAACCTCCCACAATCATACCAGATGAGAAGTTCATTGATATTGAATCAAAAATTTATCTTGCTAGGGAAAGGGAATTATTACTTCAAGAAAGAATAAGAGTGCTAGAATGGAGAAAATGGCGAATATCCTCCTTTGACGAACTCGTTCTCAATGCTCCTACGATGGTGAAAGAAGAAAGGTTTGCTCTAGGCTGGCTGCAAACACAGAACATTGAGACTGCACTCTTAAGGGAAAATATCAACAAAGCCTGTGACAGCCTAAACTTTTATTATAGAAACATAAAGTTAAAATAAAATAAAAATAAAACAAATATAAAATATCTGATAAAAATAAACCAGATTTAATTAGTTTGCTAAGAATAGTATGTAAAGATGAAAGAATGAAATAAGATGATAAACTAGTGTATAGCTAAGTTGATTATTCAAACATAATTATACCCGTACATACCTCTATGGCATGCAAATACATATTATACATAGGAATAGCATATCGATATATTAGTTGGTATGTTATACGAGTACATATATACATATGTAATGCACATGGACATACATACCATACATGCGCATACAACATACCATAATTACATGCTACATACATAAGGAAACTGTTGCAGTAATATTACTCACATACGCGACTGAAAGGTTAATTCACTAAGGGTAGCACGTAAAAACGTGTAGTAATAAATACGAAGGTTATTTCTAACGTATGTAACGGAGGCTCTAGAATCTTCATGGGTGAGTATAAACACCCGACGAACCTGCACCCAGACACCTCGCGTACAAATCTACTTCGTATATACATACGCTGATACGCCTTCGCCCAACCAGAACAACTACTTCGCCATTTCAAAGTTATGGGGTGAGGATCAATGGATCATCACTGGATTAGTGTAGCTGCGGTGCCGGACTGGTTTTACGTTGGAGGAATACGAAATCCAGATTCTGACGGAGAACTCATCGCCGACACACCTATCGCCGGAAGGAGAGGAAGAAAAACGCCAGCCGGAGTCGCTACCAATCAACTGTACGTAGTTTGCCGACCCCTTCAATGTCAACGTCGCCGAAGGAAGATGACACGCCGGTGTATCACTGCCGGGATGCAAGATCGTTTCAACGACGGAGAAGGAGTCGCCGGAGGTGCTGATACAAATTAGCCGGAGTCGTTAGTCGAGGGGGGAGAGACGGACGACGACCAACCCATGACGAGAAACCTTGTCGCCGCTCGCCTGACGGACTGCCGCTAGGAGCAACTGCCTGCATCAAATTCCGTCTCCGAATGAAGTGTTGTCATCCTTCCACCGATCTGCGCTGCGGGTACATAATCCTTGGAGAAGACGAACTTCCAGGCCTGCATGCGTGATGCGTACGTACTCCGTATCACTTTAACTATTAGGCTAGTTTATTTAGTTGGGGTTGGACTTTTGTTAATATGGGCTGAATCAATTCTTTGAGAAATAAATGAATAAATGAATATAATTAATTAATGAGGATCGTGGAACTTAAATGATAAATGGGATTATTAAATCATAAATTATAAATGAATTGATTTTAGAATTTTAATATTGTTAGAAGGTGAGTTTTTGAGAAGATCGAGATAGAAGCTTTGATTATGAATTATCGCGATTTGAGGTAAGTTTCTCTGCCAATCCAAAATTTGTTTCCTCGTATTATATGCTTACTATGCATTATGTGATTAAGTGTGAATTGTGAATTTTGTGTATGTGATTTTGAGGAGATATTATATATGTGGTAGCTGAGAAATATAAATTAAGTACTTTTGGGGTATTAAATATTTTTAAATACCTTGAAACTTTTTAGAGAAATTGGGAAGTATTTTTGAAGTATTAATTGAAGATAAAATTTACATTTTTATAAGAAGTGAGCATCTCGGGAGTAATCCGAGGTGTCGGTTTTTCCACATCCGGATAAATGTGGAGGGTGATCATTAAGAAGTACAGTTTGAGTTCAAAGTGATATTTGGATC